CATCATCGCCATCAACTGATACACGAACAACACTAATCTGCTTTGTTGTTATATATTAAAACACTTCATTCATCATCAATCTTCTTTTTTTTTTTTTTTTTTAATGCGGATTATATTGATAGAGGATCGGTTACGGTGGAGATTTATTTGCATCTTATTCAGACTCTGATAAATCAATGTTGTAATTTGGCACCGCTTTTGGGATTTTGGCGATGTTCGTCTTAGATTGTAATATCATAGTTTAGTAAGTGTAATTGCGTGTTTTGAGAATTTCATCTTCTTCTCGCATTTTTTTTGTTTTGTTTTTTTATTATACAGTTTAATTTTTATATACAACATAAGAGTATTCATTAAATAGAAAACTTTTAGGTTCTTTGAAATAAAATATAAATAACTAAATAAATTATAAAAAAAAAAAAAAACCTGTTAAAAGTACTAATCAAAGAATTACAGAACATTTTATTTTGACCTGAACTTGGGCATATACCTGTGGTGTTATGTAAGGTATTTATGTTATTTATTGGGATTATTAACATATCTGAAATAATTATTAAAAGGTTTAAATAGAATATAGAAATGAAAAATTACTTGCAAATAATTTAATAGAATTTAGAGTATATTACTATCACTCCTGAATTCAGGCCAGATTACGAAAATATCATTTATATTTGAGTAATTTTAACCACCCCTCAATTATGAATTTCTTAAACGTCACTCTTGCAGTGTCAAATTTAATAGAATCTTGTAGATCATGTGAAATATTCTCTAATTTGTTCCCATTTTATCTCATTTGAACTCTACTTTTTTAAACAAGATGATAATAAGATGAGTCTTTCAACTTGTAAATATTCGATTGTGGTACATTAGAAACTGCATTTTTAAACAAAACAAGTAAAAATTAAAGAATATTCTGTCGAAATTGAGAGCATAAATGTAAGAAAATTTATAATTAAGGAAATGATTGTGTATATTAAGACCGTTATGTATGTAGAGATCTAATTCAAATACTCCAAAGTTAAGAAATAAAAGTGTTTAGTGGCAGGTGCAACAGAGTGGTCAATTTGTGAAGGAAAATTTATTTAGGTAGACAAAAACGTGTACGAAATAAGAGAGAGAGCTTTTAGGATTTGGTACAAAATTGTCAGAAGTCACAAGTTAATTAATTAATTTTATTTATTTTTATTTTATCTGATACACCAAACAGAGCCCAGGGTGGGGGCCTATTATTACATGCTTGTCACGCTCACTTACTGAATGTCAGAAATTTTAAAAACACCCCAAAAGCTTGTTTGGAACCAACTTCTTGAATCTTGAGCATAAAGCAGAAACTACATTTAATGTATTTCTAGTTTTTAGATTCTTTTTTTCTGTTTTTTTTTTTTTTTTTTTTAACAATCCCCCAACTTTAGCTAATTAAATTCGAATAGAACCTCGATAAATTAATAACCTCATTTAAAAAATATTTTTTCCTGGTCTCACTAGGGCACAACGTGCTAAATTAATAATTCGCTAAATTTATAAGATAATACACATTCGAAATTTTTAAGAATTCCCATATAATATATAAATTAGTAATGCATAAAAATAATTTTTAAATTACATAGTACAATACATATTTTATATATTTATGAAGGCTAATTAAAATATAATTTAATTATCGTTTGTTTCTTGTTGAAGTTCACATGCCCATCAATCTCGTTCTCCACTTTTCTTATATGGTTAGAGTTTCTCGTATAGTTTTCTTGTAATTCAACATAAAATTATTCAATACCGTTGTTGCTTGAGGAGCTTTCGTTCGATAAAAAAACTCTATAAGACATTGAACTAATGGTACAATGAAATAATGACAAAAAAATCTTAATGTATTGAAGCCTTAATCAGCTTCTGCAATAATCATCGAAAAATGGAAGAACTCTCTCTCTCTGTACATTACCCTGAACGGCAAAACCCACCGGACCCACCCCCGCCGCCGTTAGATACACCAGACATCACCATGGAAGAAGCCAAAACCAGTAGCCAAACACCAACCTCCTACAATTCACAGCAAATGGAAAACATAAATCAAGACAAAAGTACATGCATAAAAGATAACAACATGACAAACAACGAAAACCGACAATACAACAAGCCGCAAACTATCAGTGTTCATGGCATGAAAGAAGGAATTTCTAACCTAAATGGAGACTATGGTAATACTGCAAACAAATCATATAAACAGAAGCTTATCAAAGAATCAAAGCATGTGTACTTCGACACATGGTTTGAATATATTGAAGAAACCCAACAAACGGATAAGGCAGAAGATCCAGTTCCACAGGAAGACAAAGCTCCAAGAGTTATATTTACAGATTTAGAACTACAAGAGTTCAGAAAACCATGGAAAAAAAGTTTAATTTTACAGACAATAGGGTACAAAAAATCGATCCCGGACATTGGACATAGGCTGCAACGGATCTGGAAGACACAAGAAATCCTAGAAATAACAACTTGGTCAAGGTTACTACATCGCGAAATTTAAAAACCCGGAGGAATACTTCCTTGCTTTGGCTGGAGGCCCGTGGTATATGTTCCAGTACTACCTGGACATAAATCAATGGTCACCAAATTTTAAAAAAGGTAACAACCAAAAAAGGAAAATGTTTATATGGGCACAATTCACAGACTTACCCATAGAATATTTTCATACAACTGCTCTTTTTAAACTAGCCAAAGCTGTGGGAAGACCCATCAAGATGGACTGGCATACCAATGACCTAACCAGAGGAAGATATGCAAGAGTATGTATTGAAGTGGAAACCCAGAAACCGTTACCCTCACACATACTTATCAATAATTTTCGGCAGCCCATTGCCTACGAAATTAACTCTCAGTTTTGTATGGTGTGCGGGAAAATCGGACATACACAGGACCACTGTTCTCAAAACACTAACTCAAAAGCTGCGGATGAAAAAACAACAGCGGAAAATAGAAACACCCGGCAAGAATGGAGTATAATTAATAGGATAAATAGGGGAAAAAAGAAAACAAATCAGATGGAAACCTATGGGCGAGGCAATAAAGATATGATGAATCAACAAAGTATTAACACACTTGAAGGTGCGGGAGAACCAGTTCTACTGAATACACAGGGAAAGAAGCAAAGCCAATTCCGGCGGGCCAAGCAAAACCAAAATACGGAAAAAATGGCAATAAACGGAGAACAAGAAACAAACAGTGAGATTATTCAAAATAAATTTCATGTGATAGCGCCGGTAGACGAACCAGTGGTAGACCATCGGAATTCTATCACCGGAGAAGTTGACGGAGAAGAAAACAAAGCAAACAAGGCTACGGAACAAGCATGCCCCAAAAAAACAATTCCCGAGGAACACCGAGCCACGTGTTTGATGGAGAAAGAACCTGACACACAAGAAACAGCGAGGAAAAAAGAAAATAAAAAAGAAAACAAAACAGAAAAGAAAAAAGAAAATATAAACGAAAAAAACAAAAAAGGGAAAAAGATAGAGGCGGAAAAAACAAAAGGAGTAATCCGAGGAGAATTTATTGCGTACCCTAATAAACTTCCGTCCTTTCAACTTCCGAGGACACCTGACGACACCAATGATGAGCAAACAGTAGACTCCACTAGGGTTAAAAACCCCTTTTTAAAAGCCATGCACACGCAAAACATACCACTCTCAATTTCTCCCTCACAAAGCCATCCCTGCAAAAAAGCCGAAACGTCAAAACCAATTCCTGAAAACCCTAAACACAATGGCTTCTCCCCAGCAAAACAACCCACCCCAAACCATCTCAACATCCCAACCGGAAACACCAACCACACTGCAACTCTTACCCACCGAACCAGTGAACCCGTCTCAGATCCAGAACCAAACCATGCAAAGACCAAACGGACATCACTACCCATACTCTCGTCCGATGGCATCTCAACACCGGAGATGGACCCGACCGCTCTCCAACGGGAACCTCACCATGTCACTCAGACCGCAACTCACAAACGGTGTCTTCCATCCCCGAACCCACAGCCCAACCCAGAACTGGAATATGAATCGGCCATACACGAATGGCCATCTAACTCCACCCAATCACCACACCAGACCGAATGCACAAATGAACCCACATTCCCACCAGGATTCGAACTAGTTTTTGAATTCTGTGCCAACCGCGAGAACACCACGGGGACCGATGGGACGCCCAAGCGATTCTCCCATGAGGCCATTACCTTTGGCGGCAAGACTCCGGAGCAGAATGATACGAATCTCTCCCAGCGAATACATCATCCAAACTTTTCACACTACGCCGCATCTTTTCCTCAGTCACCCTTTAACCCACAGCTATCAGATAGAAATCGGCCAAGAACGAGAGGTGATGCACAGAGACAGAGAGTTCCAGTACCGGTTGATCATGAATCCACTCAACCAACCAAACGAACTTTCCCCTCCACCGAACTCCCTTCCCACCCAAAACGGAGATGCAAATCCCAATATAACAGAAACAAGAACCAACATAGTTCAACCACCACCCCCACAACAAATACCAATGAAGATCTTAGTATGGAATTGTCGGGGGGCCAATAGGCCAGATTTCCAAAGTGCAGCCAGAGACCTGGTTGCACGAAACCATCCATCGATTTTTGTAGTTCTTGATACTAAAATGAACACTGACCGTGCTTCTCATGCTGTCAGGAGCCTTTTATTTGATGAATCTATACTGATTCCGGCAGATGGCAATGCAGGAGGAATATGGATCTTATGGAATTCAGGACAAGTGACGTTATCGCAAGTGCAGACGACTAACAGAATGGTTAATGCAGTAGCCACAATCAACAATGGGGACCCACCATTCCTCTTCTCAGCAGTCTACAACTATCCGCAGCCGAATTTGCAAATGCAGGTATGGAATCAATTAATGCATATTGCTACTAATAATTGCATGAACTGGTTAGTTATGGGTGATTTCAATAATATATTAAACGAAAATGAAAAAAAAGGTGGAAGACGTCCATCATTGAATAGAATGCAACAATTTCGAGACTGCGTAGCTAATTGTGAATTAATGGACTTAGGTTTTAGTGGTCATCCTTTTACATGGAATAACCGGCAATATGGTAGATCATTTATATGTGAAAGACTTGATCGTGCACTTGCTAATATGTCATGGTATAATTGTTTTCCAAATACAAAAA